TTGAAGGTTATGCTACATGCGTAATCTTGAGTTATTTGGTATTGTAAGATTAACATAAGGAAATTTGTGTATCTTCGTGAGAAACAAAAATATATGATCCAGCTGGGAAAATTTTGAATTTGGCTTCATTACCATTTCACCCTTTTTTAAACTAGAAAACATATTGTATATGTTAAATAATTGTTTTTAATATATTGTAGCAAAAAATTTTATAACTTAACACTTTTAAAAACGAATTCGATATTTAAGCACTTATTATATTCGGGTCAGGATTTTATTAAAAACGTGAAACCTGGATTTGCTTATTAAAAAAAAGTTTTGACCAAACTTTTAAATCTTGTGTAATTTAACGCATGCATAATTTCCATGATTTTAAAGCGATATTAAAATTTAAAAATCACCTCGTGCGCCAACATAAAGCTTAAGGTAAGGCTGATTTTAGCTTAAAATACTTAAAACAAAATAGGCTTTTGTTGTTTGTTTTCGTTAGAAAGTTTGTTAAAACAGTCATGGGCACCCGCAGGATTTTTTGAGGTTTCAGATAGGACACTTTCGCACATTGTGCAAACTCCAAACTTAAGTATGTTTATACCTACGCCAAATGCAAAAGTTTGGGATGGCGGAGGCCTGGGAACAAAAAAACCCTAAAACGTTTGCCCCCTGCCCAAACGTGAGGGCACTAATATAGTAAAAATTTCAATTTTAATATCGTAAATAAATTTAAATTAATTGACAGATTTTAAATTTTGTAGAAAAATATTGTAAATTACAAAAGTTATGACCATGCAAAATTTACATCCCCCCCCTACCCTCATGGAGGGGTTCAGAAAATTTGCACGGTCATAACTTTTGTAATTAACAATATTTTTATACGATATTTAAAATCTGACAATAAATTTAAATATAGTTAACAATAGCAAAAGTTTAAAATTATTCTACATTAGTGCCCTCACCTTTGGGCAGGGAGGGCAAACGTTTTAACAGCTTTTTGGTTCAAATTTTTGCAAGGCATCCGCATTTGCATTTTTGATGAACATACTTAAGTTTGGAGTTTCTGCAATGTGTGAAAGTGTCCTATCTGAAATATCAAAAAATCCTGCGGACGCTTATGAAAACAGTACTATCTTACATATTACTAACCAATATAATAATACTACTAATATAATAAAATTAGTAGTATTACTTATTAATAATATAAGTAATACTAGTATATTACTTATTAATAAAAAATATTATTACTTTTTTTATAGACTTATCTATAGCCCAGCCCCAAGGTATTTTATGTTAAAAATTACATCTTTTCTAAATAAAACTACGCTTGACGATTTGTTATAGCCGCATTACTTTTACCTGATTATAATAAGTTAAATATATATATATATATATATATATATATATATATATATATATATATATATATATATATATATATATATATATATATATATATATATATATATATATATATATATATATATATATACATTTATATATATATATATATATATATATATATATATATATATATATATTTATATATATATATATATTTATATAAATATATATATATATATATATATATATATATATATATATATATATATATATATATATATATATATATATATATATATATATATATATATATATATATATATATATATATATATATATATATATTATAGGGGAAAGTTAACCATTAAAGTGGTTACCATTAAAATGTGGTTAAAATCTTTTCATACATACGAAATATGTCGATAAAAAAACTTACATATATTCATGGCCTACTATATTCACGGCCGTATATCTTACTTTTTGGAGGGGGAAATTAAAAGGCCGGTTTTGAAAGTTTTAGATTCAAAATACTAATTTTTAAAGAATTCATATTGAAAATGATCAACAAATGTGCTGCACCAAAATGTACAATAGGATACTTAAGCAGCAAACACAAACAAATTGCATCTTTTCATTATCCAACAGAGCAAAACTTAAATCAACTTTGGATACAATTTATTAATCGTTCAGAATGGACTCCAACAAAACATTCTGTTTTATGTGAACTTCATTTTGAAGATAAATATATACTTAGAGTTGATGAATACACACTGAATTGGCTTTTAAAACCTGTTCCTTCTAAGTATTCTTGGGAACTTTCGCAAAAAAAATCATCTTTGCCAGTTTTAAAAACTTCTCAAAGTCCTCCTAAATTGAGAATATTCCAAAAATATCAGTTAGAATTATTTAAGAAAAATGTTACAATTACAAATGTACATAATTTAAATAAAGCAGAAGCATCATCAGGGTTTCAATTTAAACAATTTAAAAAAAGGGGTTGTATTTTAAAATATAATATTTAATGAACAGACATATTTTCCAACTATATTAGAATCAAAAACAGTTTATGTAGACCTAAATGTACGTTTGCAATACAAAGGAACACCGTTTCCATTACCAAGTTGGTTTGTTAAAGAACATATTGCAAAACTTAATAAAATTAGTATGCTAGAAAATTTTCCTTCTTATATGAGAAACTACGGATTAGAAAACCATGACTCTATTTTAGATGAAATTAAAGATAGAGAGCTTTATCAGACTCAAGGCAGACCACCATACTCAGCAGAGATGATTCGATATGCATTACTTTTACGACATACATCTTTACAGGCATACAAACTACTACTTAAAAAGCTCCCTTTATGATCAATATCTTTATTAAATAAAGTTCATCAAGTAGGTATCGATTCTATAAAAGCTTTAAACCTTCTACGTGAAAAAAGAAAAATTTCTCCTGATTGTATTTTGATTATAGATGAAATGTATTTACAAAAAGCAGCACAATATCAAGGAGAAGAGTATGTTGGTGCTGACGAAAAAGGGAACTTGTACAAAGGAATTCTCGCATTCACGATAATCTATTCCTTTTATTGTTCAAGCAATTCCAGAAGTCACATTCTCTGGAAATTAGCTATCACAAAAAATAGCTGACAACCATAAAAATTTATTAGGTGCTGGGTTTACTGTGCGTGGTATAGTTACAGACAATCATTCCTTGTAACATTAATGCATTCTCATCATTACAATGTTCAAGTCTGAATCAAAGTATTTTATTATTCACCCACAGAATCATGGAAAGAAGACATATTTGTTTTATGATAGTGTGCATTTAGTCAAAAATCTTAGAAATAATTTATTAAATGGTAAAAAAATTGTTTTTCCTGACTTTAATTATTATAATGCATATATAAATATTGATTGTCCATCAGCATATATTAGTTGGGGTGATTTATTTAAGATTTACCATAATGATAATAATCTGAAAGGTAAACTTAGAAAAACTCCAAAGCTTACAAATGAGGCATTACATCCTGGAAATAATAAACAAAATGTGCCATATGCGTTAGCAATTATACATGAAACTACAATTGCAGATTCAAAAAGCTATTATCCAAATCGAAAAGATGTTTCAAGTTTTTTAACTATTTTTAACACTTGGTGGACTATTGCTAATTCTAAACAAAGTTTTTCACCAAATATTATTGGCAATGCTATTGTATTAGAAGACAATAAAATGATTTTTTACAAAGTTCTGGCTGATTTGATCAATCAGTGGTCTCTTTTACCTGCATTCACCCTCGCAACTCAAACTGCATTAGCATTTGTAAATACCTTACGTGCTCAAGCACTGCTTGTTGAGGAGCTCCTGAATGATGGATATAATTACGTAATGACAGCTCGTTTACAAAGAGATCCAATTGAGAAACGTTTCTCACAATACATGCACATGAGTGGGGGAAGATTTCTTGTAAAATTGGGGAGTCACGCTTTCAACAAAAATTCTTGTTAATGTATTTTTTAATAACAAACAAAAACTATCAAAGGATTCGGTTTCCAATAATAACTTAAAAACATTTAAAAAGAGGCAAAGAAAATAGTGAAATCAAAATTGCCAATATGCTAGTTGCATAGTATTTGTTTATATAGTTTAATAAAATTTACCGATTGTTTGATTTCTTAGAACTACTTTTTGACAATTTTTTAAAGCGTTAAAATATACATAAATATATATATATATACATACATATATATATATATATATATATATATATATATATATATATATATATATATATATATATATACATATATATATATGTATATATATATATATATACATATATATATATGTATATATATATATATATGTATATATATATATATATATATATATATATATATATATATATATATATATATATATATATATATATGTATATATATATATATATATATATATATATATATATATATATATATATATATATATATATATATATATATATATATATATATATATATATATATATATATATATATATATATATATATATATATATATATAATATGTACCAGGCTTTAGTTGCATTGAGAGGTCTCTGTAAAATCAGGAAAGTATTTTTGAACGTTTTATTTAGCACTAACCGCAAATTACACATGCGCAAGATAATGTAAACATTTAAACATATATACTAACACTACTTAAACTTTGGTTGATGTTAGCATTAAATTTTTTGGTTTGTGTACTTTTTTTTCATTGATTACCTGTTAAACTTTTTAAAACTTAATGATGAATATTAAATTATCAATTTGAATGGGTATACTAAATGTTCTTATGAGTGAAATATAGGGATTGATTGATTTAATGAGTAAAAAAAAAAAAAAAAAAAAAAAAATATATATATATATATATATATATATATATATATATATATATATATATATATATATATATATATATATATATATATATATATATATATATATATATAAATCGACCTTAACTTAAAGTTAAGGTTGGTTTTTAACATTTAACAGATTTTTTACAGAATTCTATCAATCTCTGTTTTCAGTTTTTGGTTACTTTTCCTTTAGTGTTTTTGAACACTTTATTATATTCCATTTTTAAATTTTAACCATAAATTTTTCTCATAGTGCCAAGACAGTAGAAACAAAATATTCCAGAATGTAAGTAGATGTAAAAAGTGAAAGTACTTATAAAAGCTGAAGTGTATAGTCAAACAAATTTGTTGAATAAAGTAACTAAATTAGTAGTTGAATTATGTCTGCGACATCTAACTTTTTTTTAATACACTTGTACTTATCTCTAAGCTTTGTAAGACAGTTTTATTTAAATTTTTATAAATTTATTTAAAGGACTTTTTAAATAAAGACAAACAGAACTTTCCCCAATTTACACAAACATTTTAACAAGCTTTACAAAATTAATGTGGAATTTTATAAATAGCTTTTAAGTTTTCATAGTAAAAATAAAAATAAAATCATTATTATTTTGCAGCGTGTTATTTGCTATTAATTTTTTTTGTATAATCTATTTTTTGATTTGCAAAAATTTTATTTAGAAAAATAGATAGTCAACTTTAATTAATGGATGCCATAATACAATTGTTTCAAAAACACATTTCACCAGAAAAGCTTCAGGAGCATCGTTTGGGATGGGCAAATATCACCAGCACGATAGCAGTTTCACTTTCTAAATCATTTTTAGATACAGAAAATACAGAATTAAAAAAACTTATCTCTACAATAAACCAATCTATTTTTTCTACAATTGAACCCAATCATGCAAAAAATGTCCCAATTTTACATGAAACAAACTTGCAAATGTTAACATTAAACAGTTCAAACCAAGATTCAGACAAATCTGTTATTAATATAGAGAACAAAACAAGTATAGAAACTGCTTTGAATCCTACTCCTAGCTCAAACAAAGCATCATCTGAATTTGAAAAAGTTACTAAGTTGCAAGAAACAAAATTGTTAACTGTTGCTTCTGCATGCGTAAATGTTTTAACTCGAGTTTTAAATGAATCATTTCTAACCTATGAAGTCAAAGTCATACCCAGTGGTAGTAACGTTGAAGGTGCCAACATGGCACGACTTTTTTTTGAAGACAGTCAAAAAGAGATAGAGTTAGACATAATGTATCAAGTAGCACAAGTTAATAAAATGTGTTTAGAGCAGTGCGATAAGAACAATCCTATGTTTGTTCATATTTTGTTGGAAATTGACCCTAATGTAATTGATGAATGTTTAAGGAGTTGTGAGAACAACCTTCATAAATATTTTGCCTGTGATTATAAGAATTCCAAATCATATCTTAGCAGTGATGTTCTAAAATCTGACGCAAAGTCTTTTTTTGACTCCGACTCTCCTGATTTTTTAAAACACATAGGAGGTTATACACCTTATAAAGTTCTTCGCAGCTGGGAATCTAAAGATGCTGCTGGAACTTTTAATATAATATTTTCAAATGATCATGAATGCGAAGGCGAACGTGAAAGCAATCCTAAAGTTTCTGAAAAACATGTTATTGATGAAATAGCTAATGCCTCTCCTGAGTTTGAACAGCGAGCCAAACATCTGTTACAAGCACTTGTACAGATTCAACACAATTTTCTAGAATCAAGATTTAATGGAAAAACAAAAGTTGAACAAATAAGTTTAGCAATTGAATGGTCGAACCAATGTTTATTATTGACAGACACTTTGTGTGATCATCGCCAAGAAACTATAGGTTATGCTTTAAGGCAACTTATAGGATTTGAAACAAAGAAATTGACTGAAAGTATTCGAGTTCCTGTAAGACAAAAGTTTGAAAACCATATATCAAATTTAAATAAATTTTTAGTTGAACCAGATTCAGATGAAGCTGAACAAATATTGCTTGACTTTGAAACTGATGCAAAAAGCCAACGATCTATTACTGGTTTTGATGCGTTCTTAGGGCAGGAATTGCTTTTTATGAAAACTGCACGTTTTGCTCAGAAAGATGCAGAAGATCCTAAATACAACACTAATGATTTGTTAAATTTTTCAGAAAAAAATATATCAAGAATGTCAATTGATTTGGTTTTTTGTTTAAAATGTAATTTTTGGCCAGAAATTGCAGCAGAGTGGCCTAAAAGAGAAAGACTCTGGCCTGAGCAAGCAACCATCAAAAATATTGTTGCAAATGGGATACACGTTGTTTGCAAAGAACTTCAACATAGTGCTATTGACTGGCGACTGTCGTTTTCAGTTGCCGAGATAGAAATTGCTAAGCTATGGACAACCTGGCAACACTACATTTATTTTATTTTTAAAAGTCTGTTTTACAAATATCTTAAACCTTTGTCGAACAAAGGTATTAAAGTTATAACGTCATATTTGGTTAAAACTGTTATGCTGAACGTAAGTGAAAATTTTAAGCAGTCATGGTGGTGTAAAGAGAATGCTGGCGAGTGTCTGTACATATTGCTAATGACATTAATTTCTGCTTTCGAAAGTAGAGTATTACCACATCATTTTGTACCTACGTTTAATTTACTTAAAGGGGTGTCAGGTGATAAAGAAGCAGAGCAAATTTTAGATACCGCTGCTAATGAATTAAATTCCCTGCTTTTAAAAACAGAGGAGGTAGCTTCAAATTTATTAGCATCCTTAGCGATCATAGATGAATTTTTAAAGGTTTTTGAAACACAAACAGCAATGAAAACTCGAATAGACAATGAATTATTGCCATTCATTAAGCAATGCTGTTTATCTGTTAATCCTTTTAGCAATTATGATTTCAACGAAAGAGAGAAGTAGTATTTTTAAACAAACTTTTTACGAAGAGAGCTTTTTGAAATATTTATCAATTTGTTTACAACATGATTGTTTGCTTAAGTTTTTCTCTGAAGTATAGTAGTTATAATAAATACTGCGGTTTTAGTTTATGGTTTTTAGCTTATGTCTATCAAGATTTAAAGGTAAATGAGTTCAATTAATTTTATATATTTTTAAAATAAAATTTTTTAAATTGAATTTAAAAGTTGATATTTTTATCGTAATTATTGAGCTTTTGATTCAAAGTTTGTATTTTTAAATTTTGATTAGAGTTTGTTTTTTCGATTTTTATACGCATTTTTTGTCTTCAAGATTTTAATATATATTATGAGACTTTATTTTATATTATATATATATATATATATATATGAATTATATTATATTGTTGGCTATATGTAAATTATTAAAATGTTAAAGAATGGCCTTATGTTGCTAAAAGTGTTTACATTATATTACGTGTAGTAAAGTATTCTTGGTGGTAACTCAGAGAGCTACGTTATAGTTTCTTTACACACATTCACATTACATTATTGAATTATTTTATTAAATGTTTTATATTAAATACTATCAGTAGATCAGAAGCACTTAAAATCTTTAGCTGAATCTTATAGTGCTAAAAATCAGTTTGCTAAGAAACAATATCTTACATTTAAGTTTATCTCTCATTGTAAGAAACAATATCATACATTGAAGTTTATCTCTCATTGTAAGAAACAATATCATACATTGAAGTTTATCTCTCATTGTAAGAAACAATATCATACATTGAAGTTTATCTCTCATTGTAAGAAACAATATCATACGTTGAAGTTTATCTCTCATTGTAAGAAACAATATCATACATTGAAGTTTATCTCTCATTGTAAGAAACAATATCATACATTGAAGTTTATCTCTCATTGTAAGAAACAATATCATACGTTGAAGTTTATCTCTCATTGTAAGAAACAATATCATACATTGAAGTTGATCTCTCATTGTAAGAAACAATATCATACATTGAAGTTTATCTCTCATTGTAAGAAACAATATCATACATTGAAGTTTATCTCTCATTGTAAGAAACAATATCATACATTGAAGTTTCTCATTGTAAGAATTATGTTCAGCTTTAAATCAAATCTTTACATTTTATTTTACAAATTAATTGTAATGCTAAATTTGTGTATATTTTTAACAGAGTTGTAAAATAGTTACCTGAAAATATATAATCGTTCAGTTGCATAAATTTTATGTAAATTTTATTTTTTGTTTAATTTTACAAAATGTAATTTTAATCTTTAATTGTTATGCTCACGAAATCTTAAATTTTTTCTCTATCAATCTGGCAGTAGCATTGTTACGGTCCTAATTGAAGTATGACTAATTAAATATAAAATTACGTGTATTTGATTTAAAGATAGCTCCTATAAAAAAAACTTTTAGCATGTAGATTATTGAAAAATGTTACACTTGGTTAAGCAAGAGCAATCTGATAGGGTGCGATAAGAATGGTTTTAGCAGAATTTGTAAAAACCTGAACTGTAGAAATATTAATTGTTTAGTATAAATTATATAACTGTTACAAAGAACTTAGAAATTCTGTTTTTCATAAATGAAAGTAAACTTGTTTAGTTGTAAAAAGGAATCTGTTTAAGCAAGCACTTACCCTTTAGGTTAAGCTAGAATGGTAAAGCCCCAATGACAAATGAAGCAATAAGAACAGGTATAATAGGAATTGGCTCAACAAAAAGGTTAAGATTTAGTTCAGCAAGAGTCGCAAAAAAGAATGTTTACTGTAAAACAAAAAATATTTTTAGAAAAAACAGCTGCTGGTTCATCAAAATTAAATAAATTTTTTGTTGTTGTGAAATAAGATAGAAACAGCATCAGCGAGAAAAATATTGGTTTTGCATGTATGTTGACATTTTTCTTGTTGTTGATAGTTAAAATTAAGCAAAAGTAGCTTAAGCAATCTTTGTTGAAATTGTTTAAAAACAGTTTCATGAATAATTACAAAATGTTTGGCAGGATTTTGTAGAACAGATGTTAAAGGCGATTTAACTTAAAAATGAAAATGGTTTTGTAAAGTATCATAGAAAATAATTTAAATGAACTAAAACTGGTTAATCGAGCAAAACTTCATTTATATTCATCGACAAATTTCAAATTTGGTTCAATAATCTTTTGTTGTTCGGCTTTCATGACCTTATAAAGTTTACACCCCCCTCAATTTGAGGGGGTTGTAAACTTTATAAGGTCATAAAAGCCGATCAACAAGAGGTTATTGAATCAAATTTGAAATTTGACAATGAATATAAATTAATTTTAAGAGAAAAAAAAAATTACAAATTTGACTAATTGCCCTCCTGTTTAGGCCTGGGGGGACTAACGTTTCACGGGTTTTGTTGTTCCCAGTCTCCAATCACTGCAATTTTTTGCTCAGTATCCTCATATATATGAACACACTTAAATATGGAGTTTTTTTCTTGTTCCAAAGTTGCTAAGCTCAAACATCAAAAAAAGTTGTCTACGGCCTTGGGAATACATATTCTTTTACGTTGATTAAGCGATTACATTACGACTCGTGGTTTGGTAGTCAAATTAATTTCTCCACTGTTAAGTATTCAACACTTTTTTTTTTTTTTTTAAATGTAAAGAAACTTATTTGTCCTTTAAATTTTTCAAGTTAATAATGACAAATTAATTTAATGTAAGTAATCACACCGTCTCAGACGTCTCAGTTTAATGTAAGTAATCACACCATCTCAACAACCGCATTCACAGCAAATACAATATCTCAGCACTGCAACCGCATTCAAATTCTCAATATTTCAGCACCGGCAGTTTTGTGAGTTTTAGCTAGCTTCATATAATGTGTTGTTCACTGAGCGCCTAAGAGACTGTTAGATTTTATGTTTTGTCACTCAAGTGAAACTTTTTTTATTCAAGAGTGTTGCAAAAAAAAGATTTTAATTGAATTTCAATTTACTTAAAAAAAATTTAAACAACAAATATACGTTTAAATATTAGCATATTAATGCATATAAATTCTTCTTTTTGTTCTTAAGTAGTAATGCTGAAAAACTCTTTTTCCATTAAAACTAACTGCAAAGTCGAAGTTAATGTTGAGCGTACTCTTTTACAAGTCTTGGGTATATAGAAAATTCTTTTATGCTTTTAATGGATTGAATTCTAATATTTTCATTCCTTTTTGTTTAGGTTAAAGTTGCTAGTTAAATATTATTTAGACATGTTTTTATGGTGTGATTGCTTGCATTAAAAGATTTTTCTTAACTTTTCTAGTTTTAACTTCGCATGTTCCATACACTGATGGAATCAATTTGTACTGAGGACAAACAAAGTTGTTATTCATGAGTTCGACCTTGTATTCTATGTGAACCTGCAACGGCGATTGAAGGCTGATTGCAGTAAGACTTGATAGTATTATTTGGTTGTATTGTTTTTAACATGAATAGGACACCTTTTGATACTAACAATTTTCAAACTTTGTTCATAAATGCTTTGATAAACATTATATTGTCGTTTATCTTTCATTTTTACTTTTTTCATTTGTCTTTTAATACACGTTTATATTTCAGTTTTCTCAACTAAGACTTATAGCTCAGTTTATGAAAGACTTTAAAATAGTAAAATATTCTTGATTTTGTTAAATTCTTGCGACTTAGTATAAGTCAACATTTTCTATATTAAAAGACATTCATATTTACCCAAAATTCTTATCATTCAAGTTTACTGAAAATCTGTTTACAATCAGTTTGCTAAACATTATGTGAATACATTCTAAATTTAAACTTAATGGAATAGATTTAAACTTGTAAAAAAGTATTCTCAACATCAAGAGCGACTTTATAATGGAAGAAGAGTTGTTTTACATTAACCTTTACATACTGCTTCAGAATAGAAAATAAATTATTCGATTTTTGCTGGACTATCTGCCATATATACGTTAATATTTAATTTTAATTTATTAACAATCAATACAATAGGCCGTTCTGTGATGTAAATACAGCCTTTAAATTCAGTTAAGATGTTATGAAAAAGATAGTTTGTGTTTGAATTTGTTTAGATTTGTTGAGTTCGCCACCCACACAGTTGACAAGAAAGTTGTTTCTTTCCGTTATGAACAGTTTGTGCTTTGAGTTGTTTAGTTTGTCTACAAGCTCAAAAACTGAACTTTGAAGACTTTGAGTTTAATTTACAATAAGGGAACGCGAATTTATTTTTGCCAATTTTGCTGTTAACTTTTTTATTGTTTAATAAAATCTCCTTTTGCTTGTCGTTCGGTCAGTGTTATCAGGTTTAATCTAGATAATCGCTTAGTGTAGGGTAAGTGCTTTATGGCAGATGCTTTTCGTGGTTTGGTGTTGAGTTTGTTATGATGCTAGATATAGTGAACGTATGAAATATACAATATGCGCCATAGTGCAAGGTTTCGCCGTCAAAACTTTCAAGCATACGATTGACACCTGAAGGCATACTTGTTTTCATCAGCCATTAAAACATTTAGATTTTTTCAGATGTTGTGCACTATAGTTAGTGCAATTAACTGACAGTATCTTTCATTGTATAGATTATGCGGTAGTGTTGTAGTGGTAGAGCGCTCGCTTCATAAGCGAGAGGTTCCGAGTTTGATCCTTACCACGTCCCTTGTTCGTCAGCAGCCTTGTTCGTCAAAATTTGATTTTCAGAGTTATAGTGTTGAGAGAGGGTTATAACCACAACTAAGTAACCTCCTTGTCTGTAATAAATCCTTAAGGCCATTTCGGCCTTGGAGGGTTATCAAGTCGATCAAACACACCAAAAAAGTTCAAGCCGACATCATCAAAGCAGTGAAGCGGCGGCACACATAGCTTATGTCATTTAATATTGATAAGTGCAAAGCTATGCACACCAGTTGCAAAAACAACAAAAAACAACTGCAATCATTTTTTATTTTTTTTCATCTTAATTCATCTCCGATTATTTTACAGTTGTCTGCACACATTTTAAAATGCTGAAGTATTTTTTCTGGTAGATCATTTATGCAAATGAGAAATAGAAAAAATATGGTCTGAGAATAAATTCTTGTGGTCAGGTGATCAGTGATGTGTCCTTGTATAACTTCCATTGCTTTGAAAGAGGAAAAAAAGCGTGAGATAAGTTGGTAGTTTAAAGGGTTCAACTTGCAGCCATTTTTGAAGATGGAAACGATTTCTTTTTTTTTTTGTTGAGACAGTATTTTGCTGGCCTCAAACAATTCTGAGAATATTATGCTAAGTGAAACTCGTATTTTTGTACTATTTGCGT